TGTTGTTGTTGTTGTTGTTGTTGCTCGTGTTATTGCTGTTGTCGTTGTTGTAGCAGTAGTCGAAGTGGCAATCATCGTCGTTGTTCTTGTTGTCGTCGTCAGCCCCATAATATGAAAACCCATGCTGTTGTTGCTACTCCTACCACACCACACATGCACCTGCTGTTATTGCCATCCTTGTTCCTCTTGCAAGTGTGATTAAACCTCAGCATTGCTGTTGTGCCTGCAATCATGATCATTCTAGCATCTTTAAAGGCACTGACAGACTAACGCAAACCTGAGCATTTGCACCTGGTGTCTGCAGCAGCGCCTCCGCTCGGGTGACCTCAAGCTAGTTCAGATTCAGCATGGATCAGGGCGGGTTTGTAGTTGCACCACGAAAGAGTTAACAATGATGGATACCCTCGTCTGACTTCCGGGTTCTGGATAAAACACGCTCTGCAGATGCATAGGGCTTGATGAAAGCATTATTAAACTGGTGCATTTCACAAGTGTTGGACTTGCTTGGTTGGCGATCGAAATGCGCTGCACCGTTGCAAGATGATGTACATGCCGCTCTGCGCCGTGCCTCGGCGTTCTCCAACGGTTGTGCTGATCACGGCTGCCTGACCACAGCGTCGCATCATGTCGCAGCACTGCAGTGCAACCACTTCCTACGTCCTACGTCAGCTTGCACCCATCCTCGACAGTGCACGCATCCTCGACAGCAAGTGCAGCTGCCAATGGCGCAGCCTGAACCAGGCACGAGGTTTTCGTTCGCTTCCATGCGCGTCACATCAATGCAGCACACAATCAGTCTACTGTTGTTGCGCACGCACATGTGGCCAGCTACCTCCTTGACTGGACAAAGGAAGTCGTCCAAGGGGTTGTTGTGCCTTGAGCAACAGGGAACCAATCATCCCGCGTGCCAGGCTTCAGGACAGCAGTACTCCAGCGCTGACCCCTGAACCTCCACCTCCCGGAGTTCGGCCGTCTCATTGAACTTAAACCCTAAACCCTGCAGCGACACTGGAGCAACTCCGACACATAATTAAGAATCTAAATGAACTGCCGCAGCGGGCCTGATTCCTGTTAGGAGCACAACTTCGTAAAACCTTAAAACCCCAAGACCCAAAACCCTCAACCCTAGCAATGCAGCTTTGCCGTCCCTCAACATGTTTGACTTTCATGCTGGCGCTTCTCTGCTTGTCTCTGCGATGAGGATCCAGGTCACAACATCTTACCCAAACAAACCATGCTACAAGGTTTCCCTTAAGGGTTCCTTTGAGGGATCTGTAAGGCTTCCTTTAAGGGTCCGAAAAAATACATGCTAATGGTCATGGCCTGCAGGCAAAGTCATCAACACCATGTCGGGAGCGTCAGAAAAACAGGCAATGAACGACTGACCCAAAGCCTAGCATCCCGGAACCGTAAGCCCTAATATAGCACCATAATTGGAATAGGGTTCTCGGGCATCTTATGCTATAAACATAATAAGAAACCCCCCATAGAAGAGTATTGGTAATTCTTAAGACCCCTATGGTGCCCCTTAACCCCCAAAGCCTAGCATCCCGCGGGCTAGTTGCAACCTTCCCAGACCAAGAATCTGAGGCCCCTGGCCCCTGAGCCCCTGAAGACCTGAGACCTGAGGCCCTCCAACCCATCTACCGCCAGAGCCCTTCTAGGCCTGAGAGCCTGGGTTTCGGGAACGCTCATGGGGACCCTTGAGGACACCTTTGTCGAAACGCATGTAAAGCCCCGATTTGGAAGGCTCTTACAGAATCCATATTAAAAACAGTGGTAGCGGCTGTAGCTGGAATGAGGACGCGGCAGCCAAGCACCAAGCAAGGCAGCAATGCCACCAGCGCCAAGGCCAGCGCCAAGGCCAGCGCCAAGGCCCGCCTTGGTCGGCATAATGGGGTTTCAAGCCGTTTTAAGTAACGGTTGCAGAAGGTCTTAAGAAGGGTCCAAGTTCTGGAGAGCTTCTAAAGAGTCTTAAGTTAAGGGTTTAGGGCTTCCGGATATGAGGTTGTAGTAAAGTGACAAGAGGGTTTTATGCGAGCGCCAGTGGAGTGTCGATGGGATTTGCAGGATTGTACATGGCTGCTAGTCGGATTCATGAAAACTTCAATAAGGCTTGTACAGTGTTGCCACGCGACTTCTAAGCTTTGGCGAAGGTGCTGCTAGTTGTATAAGAGGCATTCATAGGTTTTGTACTTATGAAGGCTGTATTTAGGGCCTAAAGGGCTGCATACAGGTTTGGTGTTAGGACTTCGGTTTGCCCAGCATCAGGGCTTAGGAATTGTGGCTCGGGGTTGAGGGATATTGCTTCCGGGCTTTTGCTTGAAGGATCGCGGCTTCCGGCACTAAGTCACAAGGGATTAGGATTCAGGGCTGCGGAATTGGTTTGAGACCTCTTTAGGAATCATCGCTATCAATGGAGGCTTCGTTGTCATGTACAGTTGGTCTTGCTGGTGCTGTTCTTATTGTCAATGCCCTCTTGTGAACACTTGACCTCACTTCACTGTCTGATGTTGTTGTCGTTACCATGATCTCAGTGTCAAGTAGCAGTATCAGTAGCAGCAGCCGTAGCAGTAGCAGTAGCAGTATTCAATAGCGAGAGCAGGAGAGTACGAAGAGGAGCAGGAGCATCAGCGGCAGCAGCAGCATCCCCAGCGGCAGGAGAAGTGATAGTAGTCGCAGCAGGCAGAATGTTGCTGTTGCTGCTTGGTGTTCTTGTTGGTTCTGCTTCTGCTTCTGCTCTTGCTGCGGTTGCGTTTGTAAACTGTTGTAAGTTGTCGTTATTGGAGTCGTTGATACTGCTGTTGTTTATGGTGCGTGTGTGTGTGTGTATTGTCTGTGTGTCATGCTGTAGTAGTGATGGTGGTGGTGGTGGCCGTGGTGGTGGTGGCAAAAGCAGCCACAGCAGCAGTTGTGGCAGCATCTCTCTTGCCGTCCGCAATACTACTGGCAGTGGTGCTCGAGTTGGCTACCGTCGTATTTGTCCTTCCTTCTGCGTTTGACAATGCTGCTGTGCCCAGCCGCTGCCCAGGACTGGGCAGGAGCCGCCAACGCAAGCAGAACCATGGCTCGGGATGTGCGGGGAGCCTTCGGTTGGTCTGGCTTGTGGCCAAGTCAAGACATCCATGCACATGAGATGTTGCTGAACGAGCACTGATTGGTCGACCAGAGTTCGGCTCAGATGTAATTGCGCTTTGATCTGATTTCGATCCTGCGACGCAATTCTTCACATACTCCCACGTCAGCTGTCGTGATTTCTGGCCTAACAGAGGCACAAAGCATTGGGATCCCATGTCTCCTCTGCTCGGCATTGCTTGCGCGTCGAGGAACCAGTGCAGCCGTCGTGAAACAGTGAAGGGCAGTCACCTGGCACTCCAGTGCCTCACTTCCATCTCGATCTCTGCATGCGGCATACCTGCAGCTGCCCCACGCCGCACAGACTTTTGTGCATGTTCTTCCCGCCGCCTGCAGAGCGCGGCAAGCTACCAAAGAAGTCACACTGTCAACGGAAAAGCAAGAGGAGATAGTGCCCATCAAATACTTCCGGAGTGGAAAAGAGAAGGGAAAACAGAACGAAAACAGGTCCAGTTCAACAGCAGGCGCCTGAACTGCTCGAAGAACTTTTGCTCGTGAAGGCGCCTTTCTGAACCCCAAAGACCCGAAAGCAACGCTTCTAACCTCCTGAAAAGCAGGAGGCTGCTAGCATTTGTTCATGAAGCTGTGGCGGGTGACGGCCTACAGCCTCTGCAAATGCAGCATCATCTGCCATGCAAACACACACACACACACACACCCACACACACTCACGGAACATGCTGAACCTATGTTTCACCTAGCAACTGGCATGTACTGCACAAATAGCAAAGTCTGACTTTGATGGCCAGTTGCGGATCCCACACCCGTTTGGTCCTGGACTTGAAGACATAGCCGCGACAAAGCAGCCATACGAACACGAAGAATGGAAGCCTTTCCACGGAAAGGAAACTGGAAAGTAGAGTCGTTATGGATGCTCCAGCTGGCAGCCAAAAGGTCCAAGATGGCCCAGCATTCAGGGTTTCGGACTCAGGGTTCAGGGCGCATAAACAAGAAGAATCCGGAAGATGCATACACGCTCTGGCGGTACAGACCTACGTTTGCGCCTACTTGCCGACTGTCGCTTTGGAAACGATCTTTAGGACTACGCTCGTTCTATGCTTCTTGACAACAGTCAGCTCTCCTTGACGTTGCTCAAACACTACAGGCTTCTTAACTGGACATGCACATATACAAACATGTACTATATGCACTGCATATAAATGATCCTAAACTCCAAACCCCAAAAGCTCAAGCCCAAAAGCCCTAAACCGTAAACCCCTCCTTAAAACCCCGAAAACCCTCGAAACCGCAAACACCGTTCACACCCTTAGATCGCTTTAAGCAAGTTTAACCCTTGAAACCCTTCAACTCTTTCCGACGTCCGGCTCCCGCACACGCGGTTTAGGGGCGTTTTGTTAGGTTGCGGCTGAGCTTCAGCAATGGGACCCAGAAGATCGGGCTCGAAGGATGATCCAGCAGGCCCAGCGCCTGGGCAAGAGAAAGAAATCATCCCTGAAGCACTGAGGGCCCCAACCCTAAATCTTAATGCAGTTGTGCAGGCTTTTGCTAGTGTTTGCGATCTTCAGTGGCCGTTGAGGAGTGTAGGGCCCTGTGAAGAATCAGTCCAAACGGGCTTTAAGCGGGTTTGAGAAGGGCTTTACAAGGGATATAAGCACAGATCTTAAGACTGAGAATACGTGGCGGGTTTAGGGTTTAGGGTGGTCCACCATGGCATACAAATTCAGGGACTATGTGGACACTACCACTGAATGTTCAGGCCCCTTCTGTTTAACCCTTACTCAAACCCTTACAAGCCAAATCCTCAACCCTGCGTAGCCCATATCAATACACTACAAAGCCTCTACACCCCAGGCCAGACAACCTACTCACCCCAAAAGTCCTCTAGAAACCTTCGCTATCCTTTTTACCCGGCAAGCCCGACACCCCTGAACCCGAAACCCAGCTTATTCCCGTAAAGGCCTTGAGGCAAGGCTCTTTTCAGGGCTTCCTTCAAGACTGCTGCGATCGTTCTACAAGGTCTTAGTGTATGGGCCTTAATATCAGGCCAGGCACCAGAGCCATGGCACCGTACGACGCGCCCTCGGACAGGGAATCCGACCAGTCCAGCGCAGGCTGAACCACAAGGTTTAGGAACACCATGGCCATGCAGTAGTACAATCCTGGGTTCAAGGTTCAGGGTTTAGGGTTTAGGTACAGTCCTGGGGGGCTTAAGAAGACAATGGCCATACAGTTGTACTGGTTTTAGGGCTCTAGGACAGCACAGCACAGTAAAGTACATGTATTGTGCAGTATAGCACAGTACACTCTAGTATAGCAGAGTGTAACATAGTATGGTATGGTATGGTCCAACAAAGCCACGTATGGTATAGTATCATGCCCTATCGCGACGTAACCTATAGCATGGTACTAGTACTGTAATGGTACTGTAAAGCACCGTGCAACACGACGTTACGAAGCTCTGCTCACCGATTGCAGGATTTAGGGTTTCGGCTTTCGGGTCCCTAAACCCTACACCCAATAGGGGCAATAACTAAGTTCGGGACCGATGAGTAGCTGATGGTCACGCGGCAAAATGAGAATTCCAGCCAAAAGCTGCCTCCTCCACATGGCAACAGGGTTGAGGGTTTAGGGTTTAAGGTCTAGGGCTTAGGGGTAACATCCTTGACATGGCAGCAACGTCAAACCACCAGCAACTCGGGCGATTGGCTTCGCTGATCTGGAAGTAGATCTGCAGCTCCTTCTCCGTATAAACCAAGCCCCTGGGCACAAGTTCGGGGGGTCGGAGACCTTCCTTTGATCGATACGCTTCACGCAGAGCCCGCTTTTGCCGATACTCGTCTTCCGGAAACTCTCGGATGGCGATCTCGTCCGTCACTTTTGGATTCAGCAGCTTTCGGAACTTCCACATGCGCATCGAGATGCCCATGGGGACAAGAAAACACCAGCACATGAAAATCACAAATCCCACCCATCGGTGAAGCTTCTGCTCGAAGGTCCCACATTCAGTGTCATGGCAAGCCACCAGAAATGATTTCCCTTCAAACTGAGTACAGCTCATAAACATCAGGCTCCTCGTGGCCACTTTCAAGCCGGTGAAGTTGTAGACTAAGATAACTGCCGACAGCCTGTCGGCTCTGAAGGCTCGGCTGACGCCGCATCCGATGAAAAGCACCACCGCAACCTCCAGAATGGTAAGCCAGTACAGCAGGAAACAGCTCTGTCCTTCGGATCCCCAGCACTGAGACAGTCGTCTCATCGACAAGATCGCCAGATCCACTTCACCAAACCATCCCAAAAGCCAGGACCAGGAGTGTATGGAGCTCTCCTCTGATGCGGAGTATGCAGTCCGCAAGAGGGAGAGTGTATGCAGCATCTGGCAGGAAAAGACGAATTGCTTCAGCTTCGGCCAGAGATACGTCCATCCCACGGATTCCCGACATGATTCAACCGCTTGTCGTATGAAGTCTTTAAGGCCTTCGTAGCCGTGGGTCTTTGCTGCTCTGTGGCCTCCATACGCCCCAGCAGCTGCAAAGACAGCCAGGATTACCAAGAAGAGCAACGTGATGCGAGTTCCGGACCGGGAACAAGGCTGACAAGATGCCTGTGGCGATGAAACAGATCCCAAGGCAGATTCAGTAGAAATGGCACTGAACCGCTACAGGGGCACATTATCGGTGCAATGCTTTGAGATTTTGTAGTCTGATGATGCGGCTCGGGTGTTTACCAATTCTATGATGGGCATCGTTGTTCTTCTATCTTTGATAATGATACTGAAAGACGGCACCACCGACATTTACGATCCGCTTTTAGATGAAGGGCACGTGCGATCAGCTGGATGCTATCATTCTCGAGGCAGCTCTGCTGCGCTGCGATTCCAGCGCGGGAGATGTCAAGATGGTTTAGGGTTTCAGGCTTTCGGGTTTAGGGATTAGGGTTTGGGGTCTCCGGCTTTCGGAATTTGGGATTGGGGACAACAGGCTTTTCTGGAAGGGATGAATGATGTCAGGAGGCGAGAGGACCGACCCGGTACCATCCAGGCTCACATACTTCGCACAAAGGACCTCGATGTCCATACCTGCAGTTCTGGTACAGAAGGAAGCGGCGACTGGGCTGGACATCGGTCGCACGCATCGGGATAAAGCCTGATCGACCAACAACGCCGTGCACCACTTTTTGCAGGAGAACTCATGCGGGGTTTTGAGTTAGGGCTAAGGATTGCGACTGGCAATTATTCAGGCTCCTACATGATATGCACAAGACGTAAAACAAGAAGGGCCCCGGCGTATTTGGTGCCAACACTCTTGGTCGCCGCAGACTTCACTCCCTGCATCCGCTTCCATGTAGACAGCCTGGAGGCTTGTGGACTTCGTGAACTCAATCTGCAACGGATAGTCCTGCTCCATGCCGATCGAGTGCAGGTCACTGACCCTGAAAGACACAATGAGATTGCCTTCGCCGTCTCGAGAGATTGCTTGTGGCTCCAAAGATTGATTTTGGTGCGGTGACTGCACATGCAACACTCTGCTTGTGCTGGCAAGGGCACCCACGAATCGAAAATGCTGAGACAGTCGACCAGTTGCGACATGCAGATTGCGAACACAGAAATCCCTTTTGAAGCATCTTCGTGGCATACGGGTTAATGACTTCTCGTACCACCAGCCTCTCTGAACTTGCCAGGTCAGACGCGTAGTATTGCTCTCCGGACACGCGACACCCTGCTGCACGTCACACCGCTGACACGTGCTATCAGCGACTGGTGTCCCGAAGTGACCTGGCTTGCAAACGCACACGTCATTGAGGTTGAACATGGACCTGGGGCACCTGCTGCAAACTGTGTCTCCCTTCTTGACCAACCCGAACTTTTCCGGACATCTGCACCGCTCAGCACCACTGCTTTCATCTGTCAGAAGCACTTGACCTTGAATGTTGCAGCGGCAGCTGCTTCGTTGAGAACGCCCTGTTGCAGAGGTGCTTGTTCCCTCAGGGCACGGCGTGCACTCGGGGCTGCTATAGTTGCTCGCATAGCGCCCTACAGGGCAAGGCTCGCAATCGATTCCAGCGCCTCTGTTCCCCGGGACACAACCTAGGCTGGCACTTTGCAGCTTCTGAAAAATATCGTAAATACGATCCCCTTAAGCTAAACCCTACATGTGGTCGAAAAAACCTACCTTTCTTGGGTTCCTATTATGGAAACAAATACATGATTCCTTAAAAGGGAAGGTGTTTTGGGCCACAGGTAAACCTTCACAGTCCTACCTAGCAACGGCATAGGAAACTCGGCGCAAAGGTCTGGCTGTCGAGAAAGAGTTTCTCCCTTCCGGCAACCGGATAGCATTCGGACCTGCAGGGACCTTTTCGGTCTAGGGTTCAGAGTTTAGGGTTTAGGGCTCAGGTTTAGGGTTTAGGGCTGGAGGGTTTTAGGGTTTAGAGATTCAGGGTTTTAGGGCCTTTTCCGTCTGCTCGATTCGCCTCGAAGCTCCATGGATTAAGAGGTGTAATGTAGGAGCCTTCATGGTTGGAACTCATGAACCCTAATCAATAGGGTTGTTGGTTATTTTGGCTTCTATAGTAGGGTTCAGGGCAAGCCGTGGGCAGACCCAAACCCAAACCCCTGAACCGATGATACATTCCTCGGTGATGAGAGGTGGAGTTTATGTCCTGACAGCGCTGCAGTGATGAGGTAGTAGGGCGTTGCAGTGCTTCGGGCTTTAACACGAACCCCTTACCTTTGAAATGATACACCCTTCTCCCACCCTTCACCCGTGGCGCCTGGCATCCATAGCCTGAGGGTGAGCAGTCATGTCTGTTTGCCACTTTTCAGGCGTCTCAACGAAAAGAATTGACTTGTTCACGGGGGTTCGCCGCAGATCGATGAACAAGTCGCTTTCCAAGAAGCTCGTCTCAATATCTGAGAGCCCGTGGTTTGAGCTCAGATTTACAAAATGCATCTCGTTTGCCGGAACACCCTTCACGCTGGACAGAAGGTTATCGGACAAATCCAAATACGACGGCTCCCAATAAAACGGGTAATCGTTCTCGAGCTTGCCGTTGACAAAGGCCGAACCACGGCGCATGCTCCCAACAGTTCCCGACAGTCCACAACCTGCTGCTTCGATGGTATCAATAGCCATATTGAAAACGAAGGAAGAAAGGAAGTCGTGCACATCCATGTCCTATCTGCCCATGCCCCGTTGTTAAGGGTATCTCAGAGGGCCCAAGATAAGATGTTTAGAAGAAACTAAACCTTAAGCAGTAGAACTTCAGACGTTATGCACCCTCCCATAGGCTCGGAGCCTAACTCCATTAAACCGTTTCAAGCTCGAAACCCCAGACCCCATGAAAGCGCAAAGCCAGAAAAAAAATATAAAAAATAAACGAAACCATTAACAGTAATTCATCAGTAATATACCCTAAACCCAAACCCTGAAACCTACACACACAAAAAAAACTAAACCCCCCTGTCCAGTGGGCATCCACTGAGGGTGAGCTTCCGCAGCTGCGGAAAGATATGCCTCAAGGGACCGACGCAAGGGCGCATTTTCTCCCGTAAATCCAACAATGCCCGATTTAGGGTTCACGGCAGTCTCCAGTAAAGCCCTATGACACAAGTTAGATGTCATTGTCCATGTCCTTTTTCGTTGGATTCTTCATTGAAGTCCTGAAAACCAAACCCCAACAAGCCATCATTAGTTCTTTACATCACCTAAACCCTAATTAAACCCAAAAAACGGCAGGAACAGTGTCTTCGTTTTATTTTGGGGCACCACGGCCTTGTCTCATTCTGGGCCTCTGCCAGACCTGCGAAGCTCCAAGTGATATTGGTCCTTTCTTGGCGATGCTAGGATCCATAGAGGTTAGTGGTTCGGGGTGCAGGATTTAGGGTTCAGGGCTTAGGAGTCAGAGTGATGTCGGACTTAGTGTATGCATGAACCTTGCTTCTGAGCTTAAGGGTTCAGGGAGGTGTTCCAGGTCGTTAATCGTGATGCATACGCTATTATACACTCTTTGTTTAGTAGCCACACGTCTATTACTTGTATTTGTCCTTGTGCTCAGACTTGTACCTGCACGTATACCTGTAAACTGCTTACCCTTTGCATGCACTAGATTTATCTGATGCCCGCAAACCTTAGATACCTCAAAACCCCATATAGTTTGTACCCTAATTCCGAAACCCTAAATCCCCATAATTGGACCCTGAGAGTACTCAAACCAAGCGATGCCCTTTGAACCCTATATAGTTTATACAACATATATTAATCCGACGCAGACCCCTCTAAACCCAAATCCGAAAAATCATTTGAAATGCCACACCCTTCAAGGACCCATTTTGGGAAGCAACTGGGAATCGCTATTTAAGACCTTTGTGGGAGCCCTTATACGACCCGCCTAAACCCCTGAAACGACGCTAATTACAGGACTGCTTGACAAAGGAACCCTTGTAATGTAGGGTCCTTAACAATTAGAATAAGGTTTTGGGGTCCAATATACTATAACTATAGTAAGGGACCCAAAATAGTATTGGTAATTATTAATGGCCCTTAAGTAGGAGCACCCGAGGAATGGAACCCCTCGGAGGGACCCTTCTAGAACCATTGTAGGACCCGACCCACAAACCCTTATGAAAGCTTGACCCCAAACCCCAAACCCCGAAACACATAAACCCTAAAAGCCCTAAACCCCCCGAACCCATCAACCCTAAAACCCTAAACCTTAAAACCCTAAAACCCAAACCCCTTGTAGGAACTAGACCTTAAAACCCTAAACCCAAACCCCTTCTAGGAACTAAACCTTAAAACCCTAAAACCCAAACCCCTTATAGGAACTAAACCTTAAAACCCTAAAACCCAAACCCCTTCTAGGAACTAAACCTTAAAACCCTAAAACCCAAACCCCTTCTAGGAACTAAACCTTAAAAACCCTAAAACCCAAACCCCTTCTAGGAACTAAACCTTAAAAACCCTAAAACCCAAAAACCCTTCTAGGAACTCTCGAAATAATGCGTAAAAACCCTAAAACCCTAAACCTTAAAAAACCTAAAACCCTAAACCCCGTCTAGGAACTCTCGAAATAAGGCGTGCTTGGCGTCCTCGCCACGTTGATCTCCTTGATCGCCTGGTGCTCGTAGGGCTCCCATGCCGCATCCATCGCACCATACACCTGTCTTTAGGGTTTAGGGTTTA